TTTTTTTTTTTTTTTGCATTTTGCATTCTGGAAAGATTCGTCGTTTTTATTCAATTGTTGTTGTTTTAGTTCTCGCAGCTCGTGGACTGATTTTAAAAGGCCATTCAAAGTTAGATGCATTTGTTAATTTATCTCTCACTGACGGTTCTTCCTGGAAAAGTAAAGTACAAACTGACAACAGAAAGACCACTACGGGAAACTGCATTTGGAATCAGCGATGCGAGTTGTATGTTTTAATTGTCAGTGACTGTTTTTAAGTTTAGAACTTCAAGCATTTTCCTGCTTCTAGAACTTAGCTCTCATTATGCATCTTAAGTAGACTTTCATGTTTCAAATGCTGCATAAATCACTAAGTTTTCAGCTTCAGCGATTTACTGATTTATTTCAAACTGTTAAAAAAATATCATTTTTATGTTAAACCCCATTAACCTTACGTGAGTGTAACACTTCTTTTAATTCGAGTAAAAGGATCGTCTGAAATTAAAGAACTTCTCCTTTAATATAACGTTTTCTCTGGAAGTATTTAAATTTTGTGTATTTGTAAGCAGTATATTTTTTTTCTGTACAACGACTTCTGCATCTTAATTGTTTTTATTGTTTTAGCAGCGTAAATAGTTTGGATTCAGTACTTACAGTGACTGTGTATCACCGCACTATCATTGGGAAAACAGAATCTGTCGGAGTGGTACAGATGCCGCTTCGCCCGCAGTTCGGTAAACGGGAATCTCTATGGTTTCTTTTGCGCAAAAAGTCCACACTGTCTTCTAATGCGGACAAGTATCGAGGAGAAATTCAATTGAAATTTGAATTCTCTAACAAATTTTCTACTTCATCTTTAACCCTAAACAGTGTACATGGTACTTTTATTTGCGTAGTATTTTAACTTACTTTTCTACAACTATTCCAATTTTTTTAATGTTTAGGATTGCAGTTTCACTTTTTGTGAATGTAGAAGGATTTTTTTAAAACTTTGTCGATTACTGATAGGTTTTATCACGATTGCATTGCAGCTTTTTTTTGAGTTAGGTTCTTCGCTATAATATCGTTATGCTGCAAATTTCTTATTTAGCAGTTTTCTAGGCGGTAGTAAATTGGAATCATTGAAGCGAAAAATGCGCTTTGGTAAGAAAAAAGATAAGTTTTTGGACGCTGCATCTGTTGCGGGCTTTCCGGGATATTCAGACCGTTCTTCACTGACATCGCTTGACTTATCGCGTAACCTTTCGCAGCTTAGTTTTGGAAGCGATGGACTGATTATTCCACCATCCCAATCCTTCCCAGCTTACGGGACAGTTCAGCTTGCCAGCCGTAAGTTTCGTTTGTGAGTGGTTAGTAAACAACCTTTATAATTCTAGAAACGGTTTAAGCTAGTCTAGCCCTGGGTGATTCTGCCTCTTCCTGTTCACGACGTGCTTCAACTTCATCGTTACATCCTTCACGGGGGTCGTCTCCAGTGGTCGCGTCAGAAGTTGATGAAGTTTCAGCAGTAACCACTACTCTCGCACAGAGCACTACTTCTTCTGGGTTCTCTTCAACAAGATCTTCAAAAATTAGAAGGCCTACTGTTATGACGGTAATCATATAATGATATATGGGTTTACTTCCCCATTTATAGAAACGAATAAATTCATTTCTTATTGTTACTCATCTGGAGGAAGATTTAGTTGCTGTATTAATATTGGGATAGTTTTAGTATTGCGAGCAGGGTGTCTGCTGTGAGGAGCTGCGAAAAACCGTCGAAGAACAAAGATTACAGCTTGCATTCAAGGATGCCAAGATACGTGACCTTCAAGAGTATATCGATAAACTGGTTACGCGTGTAATGGAAAACGACCCTGCGCTGTTGGAATGTTCGCGTGTCACCTATGCTCATTGAAAATTTGTGATTTGCATTTTCTAAAATCCAACAACCGTAATTTAAGGAGACTGGCAACCAAAAACTATTTACAGTTGATGGAAGAACTACGGAGAAGTTTAATTTTTTGGTTTGTTGGTATACTTGAACGCTAAAGCTTTTGCAACGAAAATCGTTGGGTGAGCTGACTCTGTTCTCCTGTGACCATTTGAGCTTCAAATATACCCATAGAATTTCTTGCTGTCAGCTTTAGAGCATAATGTCGTGTTATTGTCCTCAGACCGGCAACAAAAGCTTTAAATTTTCTTCTAAGTTTTTAATGGAAGGAGTAACAGAGCGATATGTATTCGAAGTTTATGATATATATATATATATATATATATATATATATATAT